TAGGGTAATATGTGGCTAGGCTTGCAGAAAAGCTATGTACTAGGTTGATAGCTAAAAGAGTGGAAGTGAAGGTCTCAGGGCCTCTGAAACAAATGGTATTAATGTAGACACTGAAGTCACCAAGGATGATGGCAGGGGTATTGAGATAGAGAGGACAACTGGGAACTAGGTAATGACAACTGTGTTGTGGAAGTCAGTAACCGAATTGGCAAAATCTATAGTCCCTATACCTGTAGCCTCAACATTACCTTGGAACTTGTTAGAAATGCGAACTCTTGCCACTCCCCATATGGTTTGTCCTCAGCAAAACTCAAGATGAGGCTTGATCCACAGTATAGCTCTGTTTGGAGATGGGGTCTTGTGGAAGGTGTTTGAGTCATGGTAATGAAGCCCTTGTGAATACATTAATGCCCTTCTCTTGGAAATGGATTAGCTATCATTGGAGTTCAGCCCCCTTTTCTCACTTGTGCACATGCTCTCTTGTCCTTCCACTTTCTGCCATGAGTTGAAGGAGCAGGAGGCCCTCACTAGAAGCCAAGAAGATGCCAGTGTCATGCTCCTGAGCTTCTCAGCCTCCAGAACTGAATCAAAATAAAACTTTATTCCTTATTTTTTAAGTATCCCAGGAAATTCTGTTCTGCAGCCAATGATAAGAACCACTGACTTAGACAGTTTCCAGGTAATGCTGATGCTGCCAGTTTGGGGATCAGAGACAATCACAGCCCCATATGACTGTAATGAGTGGCCAGGATCAAGAACCACTCACTTAAATTGAAGATGGGGGAAGTGAACAACACAAAACCACAGTTTCAAAGCATCAAGGAACAAGCAATCCCCTCTTCTTTGCTCTGGGATCTGGAGGGGTTGATCTCATCACCAGGAGATGAGAGAGAAGGTAGCACTGCTAGGTAAAAAGTCAATTCAGGTGAGAAGTTAGACAAGGCCCAAATAGCAAAGGTCATAATGAAAGAGGGATTTACACACAAGGCAAGTCAGAAGCTAGGCACCCAGGAAAAGGCAAAGCTCCACAGGAAAGAACAAAAGGCCAGCAGGGAAGAACGGGCAGAGCAGCTGGTGTGGCTCCTGAAGCTGGACAGTAACCAGGTGTCACATGTTGGCAATAGTAAACTGTTATTCATTCTTTGACTTATACCTCACCCTCATTAACAAAAAGGTTTATGGGAAAATTCTAAAATACAGAACTATAAAAAGTGTGTGATGGCATGTCTGGTGTGTGTGGGGGAGTTGAACAGGCTGACCATTGGCCTGATCTTACCTACCTGACAAGGTTATCATCAAAAGGGAGATGTAAAGCATTAAGTTCAGTCAATATAACAGAGGAGAAAGCTGGGGAAGTGGGAATCTATTTAGCATCTTCTATGTGCAAGGTACTATGCTGGGAACTTTAATTATTTCTCACTTAATGCAGGGTCTTGTAGGCCATGGGAAAGTTTTGATATTATTCTAAATGCACTGGGAAGCCCCTGAAAGGTTTTTAACAAGGAAATGAAGAGACTCACATAATTAAGTCATATAAGATCAATATTATGCCTATTCCATTTTATAGGCAAGAAAACAAGAGGTTAGCTAGTCCAAAGTCACATGCAATAAACCAGACCCCTTTGAGATAAAGCAATTATGACAAAATGTTAAGTGGGGAGTTTAGGTTAAGAGTGTTCATTGAACCAGATTTAACTTCAAAGCTCAAGCTTTTTTTTTCCCACTCTGCTGTACCGTGTCACTAACCTAAGTGACTTTAGGTCAATCATTGTCCCAAGACTTTCCCCATTTAAACAATGAGATTGAATTAGGTCAGCACTAAATTTCTCTCCCAGACATTTTGTGATTTCACAGTTACAGTGTGCAGCTTTGGATTATTAGGGAACACTAAGAGCCAATTCTTCAACTTGCCTTGCTATCAGACAGGCCCTAATGGATCTCCTGTAACAGAAACCCAATATTCAGGATGTAGTTTCCTGCAACCTCAGGAAAGGATGTTTATCATGCCTCCTATTCCACATTGCCAGTCACTGTGTAAAAACGGCTGGGCATTGCCAGGTGCAGTGGTGCACACCTTGTAATCCCGGTGACCTGGGAGGCTGAGGCAGGAGAGTTGCAGGTTTGAGAACAGCATTGACAATTTAGAGAGAACCTGTCTCAAAATAAAAAAGGACTAGGGATGTACCTCAGTGGTAAAGTACCCCTGGGCTCAACCCCCCAGTACTGGGGAAAAATGCTGCTGAGGGGGAGGTCACTCTCAAAATGAAATACCTTCTTCTGCCAAGCATTTGGGTGGGGTTAGAAAAACTATTCCTGATAACACTGAGTCAGCACATTCATCAGGGTCAAGCTCACAGTTGGAGGGAACTGGAAGAGTGCCCTGGTTGAGAAGAAGCCTCCAACTGAGGCCTCTTCAGTCTCAAAGGGAATGAAATCAGAACTACAAATTCATAATGGAGATTTGCTGGGAAACAATGGCACCCTGCTCAGATCCAGGGTATCCTCTCTAAGTGTTAGCTTAGATTAGAGACTCCCAAAGTACTAAATTTATGTACTTCATCATTCCAAAAGATAATAAAAATTCAAAGCTGGCTTTCAAAAGCTGCAAAATGAATTATGTGAAAACAAGCTCTTTTGGAGTCATGGTTAACCTACTGAAGTTATGTCAACAAGGACAACTGGGTTTTCTCCAAATATGTATGCTAAGAGTTTGTCAAACTTCTGAGGCTGGAAGGATCATGGATCTGACCTAGTGTGAAATTTATGTGCATTAAACTTCAACATACAGCTGGGTGCAGTGGCATGTACCTGTAGTCCCAGTTACAAAGGAGGCTGAGGAAGGATCCTTTCAGCCCAGGAATTCAAGGCCAGTCTGGGCAACATAGCCAGCCCCAATCTAACAAAATGATCTACATCCTTTCCTTTTGTTGCCTGAGTGCTTAGGATTAAAATAAGGGTATCTGGTTGGCCAGTGAAAGCATATGACTTTTTAAAATGTGTTTTGCAATGCTGGGGATGAAACCCAGGGCCTGGAGCATGCCAGGCAAGGGCTCTACCATTGAGCTATACCCCTGGCCAGTGTTACTTCTTTATTGGCTTCTAAAAATACATGGCTTCTCATCTCTGTGAGCAAATACACTGAAAAGAATTTTTGTTTGTTTGTTTCAGTGCTAGGGATCAAATTCAAGGCTGTGCATATGCTAGGCAAATGCTTCATCACTGAGCTACAGTCTCAGCCTGAGAATTCCTATAAACGATACTTCCCTGTAAGATAGATGATCACAGCAAAGGCATATCTGATGCAGACTACAGCAAAATCAAGTGAGACCCAGTGATATAAGCTTCCCTCCTCAGTTCTTTTTCACCAATATCACATTTTGATTTTTCACACAACATATATTTATTCAGAAAAGAATTTGCAATAAATTATAATAAAAAAGATGACACAAAATACAGAATCCCACTAGCAGCTTTGCTTAGTGATTAAGACGTTTTTTGGGGAAATATAACAAACAATTACAGAATAAGAATCAGAAAACAGTGAAAGGGAGGCTAATGCAATGTCACCTCAGGGGTTTGAACCATTTCATCTTAAAACAACAGGTGCAGAGTTCCTCCCTACCAGTTGAATCTGAAATCCTTAATTTGGAGAGACTACGAAATAGTACCTTGGTGGACTTAGGAATTAGAGGGTGGGATGCTGGGACAGGCATGGGAGGGAAACAGATTTCTTATGTCTGGTCTGTCTTCTCTCCTCTACCTAGAGATTGTCTAAAACCCTCAACCCTGTATATATCCCAGGATGAGCTGGAAAAAAGGTTGAGGCAGTAAACCACTTAGTGCTTTGACCTGATTAAGAAAGAGAGCTATATATGTGCTGCACAGAGCTCCTACTCACCATACACTTGGTCACCCAAAGACCTCAAGTTGGAAACACATTAGAAAACAGGCCCCCCAAAACCACTTCCCTGTGTTAGGACTCTGTCTCAGCTCCTATTATCTAGCTCCTATTACCTGCCTCTTTCTGTGATCACTTTGTGGACTACTGGAGATGACAAAACTGTTCTGCTCTCAGTCTTCCATTAACTAAGTTCACCACCCAGCCCTGACCTATTAGACCTTAAGCTATCTGGCACCAGTAGTTTGACTCTAATTTCTCTCAGTCCCAATCAGGAAAGGGTTTAACCAGTATATCACAGTATACATACCTTTTCTTCCCCCAAAGAACTCAACTTTCAAGAGATTGGAGAATCGAAGAACCATTCAGTGGTAGAGTTTTTCCTGGCCCTCTCATTGGATGCTCTAGAAGAGTCAAGGAATCAAAGCCCAAGATTGCACAGTCTATATATTATGCTCCTGGAATCTAATGTTAACAGGGAAGAGTAAATCAGCTTGGAGTGGTTTTAATGAAAGAAAACCAGGAGGAAGTCAATTGCATCAGGGAGTTTTGCAGTCAGTGGCTGGTGGCTTGTTTGTCAATCAACAGATTCATTTTTTAAAAGGCTGTCCCATAAAACTTGAATGAATGAAACATTCAGAGGGTTATCTTGGGTGAGCAAGGCAAGGTTTATGGTTGGTCTCACTGATCAATCTCTCTTACACAGTACTGGATACAGTGACTAGGAGCCAAAGGGAGTCTTCTACATCCTTTACTTGAAGGAGCCAGATATGGAGCTCAAAGTCAGCCCCGCTGGGGTGGGGTAACACATGTCCCTTGGTACTTCAGAAGATAGAAGAAGGGTTCTAAGGGTTATCCTCAATATCCTTGCTGTGGGTGGAGCAATAGCTCCAGAGGGGCCTGCTAGAGACACACAGACTCCCTCTTACAATGTAGTGAAAATGGCAAGTGTTGCTCTGGAGGTGATTTTTTTCTTTCTTTTCTTTTGGCACTGGGGATTGAACCTAGTGGTGCTTTACCACTGAGCTACATTCCCAGTATTTTTTTAAATTTTGAGACAGGGTCTCGCTAAGTTGCTGAGATTGGCCTCAAACTTGCGATCCTCCAGCCTCAGTTTCCCAAGTTGCTGGGATTTACAGGCATGTACCACTGTGCCCACCATTAGAGGTGGATTTCTAAGTGGGAGATGGGTCGCCTAGTACCCAGGATTGATCCTCATATAAAATGTAAATAATACTAGGAAAGGGAGAGTAGGAAACAGGACTTATCAAATGTGAATACTCTCACTCCTGAAATATTCAAAGTGTTTCCACTCTGACTGTGATTCTCTTATATCAATGTGATGCCACCTCTATAACTCCTAAAGTTATGTTACTAAATGTGATCTGAGACAAGAAAAATGGTTCCACCCAGTGCGGATCCACAAAAAGGCCAATAACAGTGACATACAGATGCCATTGTAGTAGAAATGCACAAATGCATGTAGTGACCACTTACAAACATTGAACTCACTGTTAAGGACATCCAAGGAGTCATTAGCCTCATCCAGGCTTCCTTTGAAGCCATAGAATGAGTGAAGGGGAGTGCAAAGGAGTGACATGGGGAGGAGTGGGTCAAAAGTGCATTATATGAAGGACTACAGACAAGTCTGAGATATAGGAAGTAGTGCTTATAGGCCTAGAACGGAAACACCTCAGAGTCTAGGCCTATGACTAAGGACAATCATGACAATTGGGTTGAAGGGCAACAAATATATCCCTAGGTAAAGGAGTGTAAATACAGACTTCTTTGCCTTATAAAGAGAAAACACAAAAACACCAAAATATGGTAACTTTGGCTTGGCAATATAAGTCTAAAAGTATTTTGCTGTGTAGAATATGGTAAAGAAGGGATTAAGAAACTCTCTTTCTTTTGCACTATTAACAGAACCTGAGATCCTGCAATAGACCCTTCCTGTGGCACGCCTTCTCAAATCATTCTGAAATACTTGGAACCCAAGATCTTTCTTCTCTAGAATTTTGGAGAAGAAAAGACTTAGTCTTCATCACTCCCAAGCAGAAAGCCCAGAAGGAACTGGATGGCACGCTGGCGGTCACTTGGAGTCTGTCTTGCCAAAAGGTTGGGTGGAGGCCTTAGGAGAAGACTAGTGAAGAGAGTGGCTAGAGGGCAAGAGAAAGAAAAGGGGAAAAGCTTTGTCAGATATGATGTTAGCAAAACCTCAGGGATGGCAGGCCAGGGGACAAAGACAGTAGGAATGAAATGACTGTCATGTGCTTGAACATCCATAAGGTATAAAATATAAATGATACACAGATTATTGTCCACAAACACCCTCATGTAACCATTCTTATGAAGTACCCTTACCGATCATGTTGGCGCTGACATTGTTGTACTCAGAGAATTTCAAGAGTTCTCGAAGGAATGCCATCAAGTAACGGAAAACATTTCTATGGCATCTTGGCAGTTGAGAAATTACCTGTTTTTAAAAAGGGGGTGGGCAGTGAGGAAAACAGGTGGAAGAAGGGAGTAAAAAGAATTTATAGGTTCAATAAAAGTAGTTTATAATCCAATCCTTGTAGACCTTGTTTGTCACTGCCTTCCGTTAATTACTCATGACCAACATAATACCTTCCAAACTGTATCTTCTAAGTAAGAATGGTCATATTGTTTGGTCCCTCACTCAATGACCAGGCTATACAGTCATCACAGATTTATATGCACGCAGTTCTACATAAGGAGGTAGGTATTACAGTGAATCTTACCATCATGTACATCAATAAGACTGGGGTCCTAATTGGAATAAGATATATTCTATGCTTGTATAATTATATCAAATTGATTCTATTATCATGTATAACTAAAAAGTACCTATAAAATAAAAAAAGAAAAAAAAAGATCATATGTGGAAACTTAAAAAGTTAATTTCGTAGAAGGGAAGAGCAGAATAGTGGTCAGCAGGGGCCAGGAAGGAGGTGGGGGTGGGGCCACAGAGGGAGGTCATCTGACCAGATACAGTTAAATAGGAAGAGTAGGTACTAGCTTTCTATACCATGGTAAGGTGGCTGGAGTTTACAACTTATTACACATTTTCTAAAGGACCAGAGGAGAGGAACTCAAATATTTTCGATACAAAGACATGATAAATGCTTAAGGAAATGACAATGTTAATTATACTGATTTAATCACTATGCATTCTCTACCTATATGGAATTAACATACTATACCCTATAAATATGTACAATTTTTTAGAAAAAAAGAATTTGAATTAAAAAAAGAAGGTAGAAGTTCATTGGAGTAGCCAAAGAGGAAGGAAGGAAGAGAGGGGGGGATGACAACTGAAAAGACAGTATAATGAACTGGACAGAACTTTCCTGTGTTCATATATGAGTACATGACCAATGAAACTCCACATCATGTACAATCACAAGATGGAATCCTAATTAGAATAAGTTATACTCCATGTATGTATAATATGTCAGAGTACATTTGATAGTTGTGTGTATCTAAAAAGAGCAAATTAAAAAAATAATAATTAAAAAATTAAATAAAACCCTCCCCCCAAAAGAAGGTAGGTGTTAATCCGTTCTTTTCCCATTCTCCAGACAGGTAGTCAAACTGAATGCTATTCTCTACAATAGCATCACTGAGGACTTCCCCCCCAACACTCACTAGTTTGATGTATAGATAGTATCAGCTACTGTGCATCAAGGTCATTTTAAGATTAAAAATACACCAAGAAGACTCAAGACTTCCTTCCAAATATCACCCACCCTTTTTGGTAATAACCATCAGAATGCCATGTAAAATCAACTTCACCAATCTTAACTCAGAGTAGAGGCTTCCACTTCACTATGTTTTCTGTGAATAGAAATAGGCCAACTGGGAAAAAAAGTGGCAAATATAATCAGAAATAACCTAAAATTTATCAACTCTGAATGCTGGTGTCCTGTCTTGAATAACAGACCCAGACCCATCCTACCATGCAGCTGGATGACTCTCAGGCTTTGTAAAATTGATGATTTCTCTGTGGGGGAACCTGTCCCAAACATATCCTCAGATCAATAAAACTCACCTGTCGGCAGATTCGAGGATCATGAGCAGAGTCAAGACATCGCTGATATAGCTCATAACAGATAACTGGCTCTGGCAGGGCTTCCAGGAAAATGAGCAGTGCTTCAGCCACAGAGTGATTACTGCCCGCTGAATCACCTTAAGTCAAGGGAAAGGGGCTCCAGGAAAAAGGCCATTCAGAGTCCCAGCTGGCTCCCTTCAGCAAGCTCTTGAAGGGACATTTTCCTCCTTGAATTCAGGTCACACCAAACCTAACTTGGGTTTGATATGTTATTGGTCCAGGTACCCTCCAACTGAGCTGTTACAGAATTGGTCAAAGACTCTGGGAGACTTGGCCCAATTTCAGACTCAGGGGAATTTAGAGACAACAGAATGGGAGTTCCCACTGGAACAATCCTATAAACTAACTGCCAGTGTTTCCCATTCTTCTTCCTCTCCTAATGACAGTACATGTGGAGGCAGGAGTGAAAGATAGGCTTAAGGAAAACAGTCATGGGGCTGTGGTTCTTATGTTGTATGCTTATTAAAATTCATTGTTACCTACCCTTGATTCCCCTTATTAATATCATGACACATAGAGAGGTCAAAATTTACTGAAAGAAATTGAGAAACAACTGGATAGTTAGTGATTATCTTATAATAAAAGACAACTACAAGGAAAATAAATATAGAAATACGAAAATCAAATGTAGGTGGGAAGAAGAGTTTGGCTAAGCTGGATGGGTATCCAGCTTCTTAAGCCTTGCTTGGGTAGAAAGGATACGAATTTTCTCAGGAATGCTGGTATCCAGACAATCAATTATCTGCTGTAACTCTTCCTGCATTCCAGGAGTTTGGAACAGGTCCTCCTACCAAAGAAGTCAGAATGAAGGGAACAAGGCAAGATAATCATCCCCTAGGTTCTGAAGATCACAGCAGAAAGCAAAAGGGAGGGTGGTATGTATATTAATAATTAGGAATGGAAGTTTAAAAATAGCACTTTTCCTCTAAATCATCTCTACAATCCATGTAAAATTTTATTTCAAACAAGAAAAAGATCTTCAGTGGTTTTAGTCTATTCCTGACAGGGCAAAAGAATAGTGGCCAGATCAGGAAACTAGGTGTCCCACTGACAGCCTCTGGACAAGGCAGAGTGCATGCAGCATAACCATGTTCAAATACTGACACTACTAAATGCTGGGAAGGAGTAAATGCCATATCTGTGTTAACCTTGATTTCATGTTATATTACTCTTCAGTAGATAAGAGAACATTACCCTCCAATTCAGTCCAAAAGAATTCTCCTTTTGGGAGTAATGTGTCAGGGTGGCTAGTGTTTTAGATCTGATGTAAAAGATTTAAAAGAAATATCAGGACCGAGTTAAAGAAATGGGCTTAAAGTTTGCTTTGGAGTTTAAAGTCGATAAGGCTATTTGACAGCTAAAGTGGGCATTACAAACTAAGGTACTCAGAAAAATGTGCAGAGCCAGGAGACAGGCATTCTCAGTTCTAGTCCTGGCTCTGCCACTGTACTTAGACCATGGTCTTAGGTAAACCACTTAGCTCAGATACTTTAGCTGTCACATCTGTTAATAGGGATGCTTCCACCCATGCAGGCAATCTGACAGTGCTGCTGTGTGGAGGTGGCCTGGGGAAGTTTAAAAACACTATGATAGGGCTGGGGTTGTGGCTCAGCAGTAGAATGCTTGCCTAGCATGTGTAAGGTGCTGGGTTCAATCCTCAGCACCACATAAAAATAAATAAATAAAAGTATTTTGAAATATTAAAAAAACCACTATGGTGATGTGAGGTCTTAGAACTTCCTATGAGACTTGCACATAAACCTGAAATTGAAAGGAAGGCCTACTCTTACTTACCTGGTGACAGGCATATTTGAATAAGTGATCTACTAGAAGCCAGATCTCCTTGGGTACCTGAAGGGGTCTTTCACTGGTACCTTCATCCAAGGGAACCATCTGCAGAAGAGATTTCTCCTAATAGATGCAAAAGGATGAGAATTAAAAGGGTCTCAGAATAAAGACTTAATCTCTTTTGAATTTTATTCATGCTGGGTACAATGTGATCTGTATATCTTAGGATGTTTCACTTTTTTCCTCACTGGGGACACCCCTTGACACAGATTCCCACAGTTAAAGGATCTCCTTTCCTAAATGCTTCATTCAGTCATCAAGTGTTTCACTTGGGTTTAGATTTTAATACATGGATGCATTCTGTGTTATAAATCCTTTCAAGGGTGACACTGAGAATCAATACTTTAGCAAAACAGTCTTGATAGGGTCCACCCTTGACTTGTGAACATTGTTACAATCATCAGTAAGTACTTTTAAGAAACCATGACTACAGGTAGGTTTCTGTTTACTTTTAACTTATTCTTCCTTCAGTTTTACCACAAATTTTAACATTGATGCTTTAAAGGAGGTTCTTTGGTTCTCAGGAATTAAAGACGATTGTCCACATTAGACCCACAGGCATAAATACTTCAGGTTTAATACAAGTTTTAATCTTAAGGCAATAAACTCATAAACCTTAAGAACGAAAAATAGTAAATTAAATACAGCAAGTGAATAATCAGAAATATCACGAAAAGTCTAGGGTCTAAGTACAGAAGTTGTTGTTCATACTCATAACTCATTAAAGATTTCTAGGAGATTTTACTCCTTTCACCTACCTTTCTACTATCTTTTTGATTCTTTTGAAAGAATGTAAGAGAAAAAAAATCCAGAAGTGTTATTTCAATTAGATCAATAAATTTGAGCTTGAAAATGGCCAGGAAATAAACTTAGTTATCCCCTAGCACTCAAAACACAAAAACCCCCCAAAAGGAAAAACCTTCTATGTATGTAGCAAAATAGAAATTATATGAAAAAGATGTCTGAAATAGGTTAAAAGGCTTCTGAAGGCAGCCTTCAGAAAAATCCTGGTGAAGAAATCCTGATGAATCTTTGGCATCCTCCTTTCTCCCATATGTTTAGCTCATTATATATATTCAACTTTAGGAAACCCTTGCCCAACATTGTGTAACCTGTAAATTCCATCCACAACCCCTATCCATGTATCTTTAAGGGAAAAAAAATAAACATTTTACTATTCTCACAGAGACCATGTATATTATAGCAGCACTGAGGTCTCTTCTTAACACCGTGTTCTTTAATAAGCACTGATGATCTTCTAAGGCCACTGTGCCTTTGTAAGGTAATAAGAAAGAGAAGGAAGCATGACAGTTGGTTACCATTTAAAGTATATATATATATATATATATATATTTTTTTTTTTTTTGTTTCCTTTCTTTCTTTCCCTTGGGATTCTATCACTTGATATTAATGTTCCCTATAGTTGCCAGAACTTCCATCAGTGGCTCAACCATTGACTTCTTTCTGGTTGCAAGTATTAAGTGCAGGTATCCACATGGTGTCTGAGCCAAAGCACTGTCCATAATGTACTCTTCTTTCTGGACCAAATGCAACACATGTACATATTGTTTAGCAGATGCCTCTGAACTCATAATATATGAATTATTCAACACTGATTCATGTATTTTAATATTAAAACACCTAGCATCCAATGCCTTATTATGAAAATGTACTAAGGTCCTGAGGCAAACACAGGACACTGACCAAGAGGAACAGACAGAGTTTAGACTACTCTTAACAGGGAAGGATTGGGAAGCAGAGCTGTCTCAAATCTTAATGGTTTAAAAAGGTTAATAATAATGTCAGTAGGTTAGAAGCTGGGGTTGTAGCTCAGCAGTAGAGTGCTTGCCTAGCACATGTGAGGCCCTGGGTTTGATCCTCAGCACCCCATAAAAATAAATTAATAAATAATAGATATTGTGTTCAACTACAACAAAAAATTAAAATATTTTTAAAGAATGTCAGTAGGTTATATGTCCCATCCACTATCCATTCTCAAATTCATGTGAGATAATACAAAATGTCATACTTGCATCTCTGAAGTCTAGAGAAAGACACAGTAAGAAAATGGAGAAAGAAACAATAATTTAAAAAAATTCTACAAATTATCTTTTATTCTGAGTTTTGAAGGGAAACGAAGGGACTTTGCCTTCTTTCAACAGACACATTTGGTGTCTATTAAGTCCATTTTTTATAACCTTAGTGCTAACAATTAAAGGACAAAACAATACAGCATCCCCACTGTCAAAACTCATTTGATGCCACCAAATAGGGAGGTGTCCCATTAGATACTATATGAAAGTGCTGGAGACTGTTCACCAAGCCCATGCTCCTCTACTTGACAGCCCTCTGTAGAGCTGGCCACTGTCCATTGAAGATGGAGAGGCTGTGAGGCACTGAAGAAGGAGCACTTTACTGGGACTGCAGGAAACCTGGGTTCTAGTGCCTACTGCCCCACATCAGAGATCTCTTATGACCTTGTTCAGCTCCACAATTCTAGTCCCTGCTTTATTTCTTATCCATAACTGTGTATTCTTTTAGTAATTAATCACTATTACCATTAACCCAAAACCACTCAATGCAACAGAAATGTATTTGTTTGGCTTTACTATCTTTGGAAATAGGACAGCTAAGTGGTACCTTCCTCCTTCAACTCATGAGCAGATACATCAAGACAGCTCTAGGATGGACCTAGTTCAGTGATAGTGTTTGCCTCATACGTGCAAGACTCTGGATTTGAGCCCCAGCATCACAAAACTCACAAACACCCCCACTCCAAATCTGGAATCTTGAGTTGTATTGTTTTTATGTATTATGTCTTAATAATGTGGTTGATACAGTAACATCTTTCCTATACTTCAAATACATTTACATACAGCTAACAGGACTTTAGGGGATTCTCACCGAGTCAGAGGTCTCTGATATGGGAACACCTAGGGACAAATTCCAGGGACCACAGTTAAGTGTTAATCAAGCACAGGGAAACTCTCATAACCACCAATGGATTGAATTACCTTTTCTAGGAAGCTGTCTTCTTCCTGAGAGCAGAGCAGGAAAAAAGTCATTGACAGATAGAAAATGATTAGAATTTTATTACAGAATTGGAAACAGATCAGTATTAGAACTCACTAGCTTAACTAAATTCATCTTCTTTTAAAACCTTTGAATTCTTCAAATAAATTATGACTGTTGAAAATGGAACACATTCTCCATATGCAAACTTCTCTATTATGCATATTAAATTTTTGTGCATTTACTGAGAATATCCCTGGAGAAACATATTTGTGCAGGACTAGACTTTTGTGCCAAAGTCTGGCCCAACCAAATACCCACTGATGTCTCTTCCTGTTCAACTGCTACCCTATGCAGCTTCTTACCTCACCATAATGCAACCGCAATGGAAGAGTTGAGTTTGGTGTGGGCCCAACAGTGACCATTCAGAAGCAAATGATAAAGTACATTCTTTTCCACTGCCATACAACTCACTCTAGCTAGCCTCCTGAACAGTGTCCCAAATTCCTTTCAATCTCCTCATACCTCTTCTTCTCAAAGGCCCCTAGAGGCCTCAGATTTGAAGGTTCCTCTGAAATGTAAATGAATTTCATTTCAGACCTTTGTGGATCATTATCCTCTTTTTGTTTTCTTAGAGGATATAAGAACAAAAAGAGAAGCAGAAGAGAGGGAAAAAAGTAGCTTTTATATCATTCCTGTATTTTATGCTATTATTACAATCCAATTATTATGATTATTACAATTGAATTATTACAATTCAATTATAGTAAGAGCAGCAATAACCACCACCACCACCATTACCACCACCACCACTTAAGGAACATCTGCAATGTACCAGGAGCAATGCAAAGTGATTTTTAAGTGATGTCATTTAATCTGCACACGAATGTAAAGCAGGTATTATTCCCATTTTACAGATGAATAAACTGAGACTCTGAGAGTTTAAATTATTTGCCCAAGGTCACACTTATATAGTAAGTGGCAGAACTGGGATTGGAACTCAAGGCCCGAGTAACTCCATGGTCATTATCACCATGCTCCCTCAGACAACTCAAAGACGGCAAGGTAACTGCTTCCTGGATGGAGAGGAAGGAGCAAAGTGAGAATGCAGTTCTCAGTTTACAGGCTAAGGATAGTGAGATACCCTTACTTGCAAGGCCACATTATTAATAGAAAGAGTATAGGTGTTGATGTTAGATGATCCTGGGTACAAATCTTCCTTCTGCTCCTTAGTTTTGTAGAGACCTTAGCAAGTTATCAAACTTCATATTGCCTCAGTTTCTTCATGTCTAAGCAGGGATAACAGCATTCATCGCAGAGTACAGTGAAAGCAGCCTAAATTCAAGGGGTGATGGGGCATACTCCCAGCACCTCCCTACTGATTTCCTCATGATCTTGCAGTGGGTCTCTAAGAATTCAAGTATAAATCACATGAACAACATCTGGTAGGTAAAAGGAGAAATCCAATCTTACTGAGATGCATAAGGGCTGGGAGTGGTGGCAAGTATGTATTCCCTGACATTGTAAGTGGTAATGTTGAATGCATTTCCCCTAAACTGTTGTTGTATATGGCCATTAGGTTTTTTAGTATTGTTAGACACATTACAAATTAAACATGCTTTTGTGGGTTTATACAGACTCTTAAATACCACATGAAATAATCAGAGCAACTGTGCTTTATAAAGTACACATTATTTAAAGTATTGTAATAGTTTTTAATGTAAAATTCTGAGTGTCAAACATCTAATTTAATACAATTCTAGACAACATTTTATAAAATTTAGGTGTACCTATTAACAAAGAGAGAATATTCCTAATAGATTTTTGCAGAAATTTGGTGCACTAACCTGTCAAACCAGGTCTTAAAAGATCTTTGAGTGGTGACCATCTACTAGTACAAGGTACTGTGCTCAATACCTTTGCAGGGAGGGCAATGAGAAATGAGGATACATAAAGTAGAAAGATGTGGTTGGTTCCTAATCCTGGTTTGCCATTGAGTTGGGGTAAGGAGTCTCAGAATTTATGGCCTGATGCCATTCTAATTCACATGTAAAAGTTTGATGGCCACTAATCTTTAAAAGTCACAGGATTTTTTTGTGTGTATGGTGTTGGGGATGAAACTTGAGGCCTTGCACATGTTAGGCAAATGTTCTACCACTGAGCTACACTCCAGCCCTGATTCACAGGATTTTAAGGAGTAGACATGGGGAGGGAATATCACAAGTAGAAGAGGAAAGTGAGGTACTGGTGGCAATAACTGTAGTCCAACTATTCCAAAGGCTGAGGTGGGAGGATCACTTCAACCCAGGAGTTCAGGGCCTGCCAGGGTAACTTATCCAGACTTAAAAATATGTGGAAAAGCAGAAATAAAGAAAGGCACAGAATTATCTTGAAAAATTATGTCTTTATATTTATGCAATTTTTACTATTTCTGTTTGTCCACAGTAAACTTATTAGTAGTAAWAAAATGAGTTATGATTATTCTCTGTTAAAAAAAAAAGAAAGGCACAGAAAGATAAATCACAAGGTGAGATTTGGAAGAAGTTAGTCATCTAGCTTATGGGAACCATAAGCTGAGGTGACTAGAGAACATTGAGAAAAATAGTGGGAAATAAATCTGACCTTGAATAAGAGGTTAAGGAATTTGGATTGTATTCAGCAGGCATGTGGGAACTACATTTAAGCAAGGAAGTGATAGACCACAAAGCAAGTATTATAAAGATCAATCTGATAGCTCTGAAAAGGAAAAAATGAAGGGCAGAGAAAGAGGTAAAGAGAACACTAAAGGCAAGCAGGAGAGAGTCAAATCTTAAAATTAATAATGGGAAAATAATTTTAAAAAATGATCAATGGACAGGCAATGGATGTAGCTCAATCATAGAGCACCTGACTACCATGTGTGAGGTTCTGTGTTCCATCCCCAGCACTAGGAAAAAAAATGGATGAAAGACAAAACTCTAAAAGAATAGACTCAAAAGGACTTCGATTATATACTGATGGAGGGGCAGGAAATTTACATTGAGTGTTTACTTCTCTGGGTATAAGATTAAAGAAAATAGATGAAGCATAAAAGAAAACACTTAAACCAACATTAGTTTCAATGTTGAAAACAGAAACATCATTTAACCTCTACTGATAAACAGCCTACTTCAAAGGTGGTCTGAAGGTTACTAATATACTTAATTCAATGAACTTTAAAGGGTAGATGCCCACTCTTCGCAACAGTCTGTTTTGATGACATTTAAAAAGGGAACCTAGGGCTAGGGTTGTAGCTCAGTGATAAAGCACTTGCCTCGCATGCATGAGGCCCTGGGTTTGATCCTTAGCACCACATAAAAAATAAATAAATAAAAATAAAAATATTGTGTCCATCTACAACTTTAAAAAAATCTAAAAAGAAGGAACCTAAGGGTTGGGGTTGTGGCTCAGTGGTAGAGTGCTCCCCTAGTACATTTGAGGCCCTGGGTTTGATCCTTAGCACCACATAAAAAATAAATAAATAAAAATAAAAATATTGTGTCCATCTACAACTTTAAAAAAATCTAAAAAGAAGGAACCTAAGGGTTGGGGTTGTGGCTCAGTGGTAGAGTGCTCCCCTAGTACATTTGAGGCCCTGGGTTTGATCCTTAGCACCACATAAAAATAAATAAACAAAATAAAGGTATTGTGTCCAACTACAACTAAAAAATAAATATTAAAAAAATAAAAGAAGGAACCTAGATCAGGATTTCCCCAGTGGGGCAATATTGGCAAATAGCAAATGCAATACAAATCATTCTTTACCCCAACATTTACCCTTAGGAGAATGTTCCAAAGTAGTACATGCAGCTAAAATAATATAAAAAGAGTTATATAGAGGTAGAAGATACAAACTTAAAAAGCAGAAAACTGAATGAAAATTGAAGTTCTCAAAATGATTAGTCCATATGAAATATAGAGAACAAAATAGACACCTAACAGATAAAAATGAGTGGGTACATTAGTAGGATAAAGTAAACATCTAGTGAAGAGATCACCAGAGACAAATTAATCACTAAGTTGTTATTCCTGTTATTTGAAATTTTTTATATTCTTCTCCTAATAGACATTTCCCAAATAAATGTTATTTCCCCACTCATTCCTCAGTTTTTTTTTCCATTTTAACCAGATTTGACAGTTCAAGGCTATACTCTTTTCTATTAGATTATTCTATAACCAATACCAGAATATTTCTCCCAACATGTTGATTTATAACATGCTAGTCCTCAAAGCCTTCTGAAGGTTCTGGATGCCCTCTGGCTCAAGCAGAAGCTCATCTGCTGACTTTGTGGCTTTTTATCACTTGCCCCTATCCTAAAGAACCAGTTTTACAAGTTCTTTATCCTTAACCATCATTCTTTCCTAGAAAGTTTTTTTCTTAAACAGGGAATTGAACCCAGGGGCGATTAACCACTGAGCCACATCCCAGCCCTATTTTGTATTTTACTTAGAGACAGGGTCTCACTGAGTTGCTTAGTTCCTTGCTTTTGCTGAGATTTACTTTGAACTCACAATCCTCCTGCCTCACCTCCCAAGCCACTGGGATTACAGGTGTGTGCCTGTAATCTGGCATCCCCAGCCCTTTTTTATTTTAAGACAGGGTTTGCTAAGTTGCTTAGGGCCTTGCTAAGTTGCTAAGACTGGTTTTGAACTTGTGATTTTCCTGCCTCAGCCTCCTGAGTCACTGGGATTACAGGAATGGGTCACTACACCTGGCTCCTAGAAAATTTTATAATTTTTCATATGTGGTCTTTTCACTTTCACCTTTTATCCTTTATTCAAGATGTCCCTTGCTCCTGGAAGAGCTTGTTCATCCAATATATGAATATATGCTTCTTAAGTACTTGAATTGGATTGAAAATACTTCTATGACTAACACCAAATCACTTTCCTAATTTACTTTATTCACATGTACTGAACTTATTTCTAGGTCAGGTTAATGTCACATGTATCAAATATCCATTAAGACCCAAATAGGCTGTTTCTGAGATTGATTTTACAGAGATTAACTAGTCAATCAATATGCCCTTATAGTATATAAGGGCTTGAGTAAGCAGCACAGGAAAGGAGTCTATTGTTAATACAAACCAAAAACTCTATAACATTCACTTCAAATGATTTTCCAAAACATTGATTTACTAAATACAGTGGACATTGGACAGTAAAAACAGTTAATGTTCAGGTTATTTCTAACCAAACTACTAACCATGATTCACAAGTTAGCCATACTGTATATCCAAGTATACTTTCATAACCACTAAATTATGGAACCCACATAAAATTCATCCTACTTTATATCCAGTGTGTACCAAATAAATTTTGATTACTATTTGCTACTTATATGCTAGTTAATAAGCAGAAAAATCTATCAATTCTGGAAAAGAATAAAGAAAATTACAAACAGATGATTGTCATCTTTTTCCTATTTATGCTAATCCAAACTACTCTAGGAGTGGCAGAGTGACTGTTATTGAGAAGGGAAAGAAAAATGAAAAGTATTTATGCCAGTTATTTCATTCTTAGGAGAAAGATATGGCACAAGAATCTTTCTGTAACAGTACATGCAGAGAAAACACATGCACTGGACTGATGTGTTTCTTTAGTTTTATAATTATAATTTTAAAAGTACATAACAAAATAAAGGATGGGTACCACTCTAAACGGCATGATCTCATGGGATTTGAAATATCATCTTGGGTCTTGGAAAAAATACAAACATTAAACCTAAAGAAGCATTTTAGATCATTAATTAAGACAAAACAGAGTACAAAGGAATTAAGAATGGAGTACTGATTATTTTAGATTACTTGCTTATTGCCCCATGCTAATATGGGTAATTTCCTCACCAATGAGACACAGAAATTTAATAACACTGAAATGCAACAGACTTTAAAAGGATAAGAACACCAAATCTACAAAATAAAAGTGTTAAAAGAATAAATGGTGACCACACCAATTTAATAAAAACTGAGAAGTTCTGTAATTAAAAGTGATTAGATTTCTATTTTCAACACTGAATAACTGATACACAAAAAGAGGGCTTCCTACAGAATCATTAATTCTCTAATGATTTTGGCTGTTTATGAGCAAATGTGGCAGAATTACCTGATAATAATTCTACATAAACTTTTTTTTAATGCTGGTTGAGCATCCTTCCAGCCATTTCCAGAATTAATAAGGAAAAATTATTACAAAGGCCATAATAATGCCTCTACAAATTCTGACCAAAAATAAGCTAGGTTTCAGTTTATAGGAAATAAAAGGGGAAAAGAGAGCATACAAGGATAATTTAACAAATGCCAAGAAGAAATAATCAGACACATTTAGAAAATGGCAGAACTTTGACTGGGCAACTGTACTGGATTCTTAAAAAGTCAAAAGGTTGGGCTGAGGCTGTGGCTCAGCGGCAGAGCACTCACCTCGCATGTGTGAGGCCCTGGGTTCAATCCTCAGCACTACATAAAAATAAGTAAATAAAATAAAGGTATTGTGTCCAACTACAACTAAAAAATAAATATTAAAAAGAAGTCAACAGATTGGGCTTGGTGATGTACACCTGTAATTCCAGCAACTTGGGGGGCTGAGGCAGGAAGATTGCAAGTTCAAGGTTAGCCTTGGCAACTTATTGAGAACCTGTCTCAAAATTTAAAAAAATAAAAGGGCTGGGGGTATAGTTCAGTTGTAAAGTGCCCAGGGGTTCAATCCCAGAGCTGAAAAAAAAAGTCAGTATTATTAAAGGAAGGAGTGGAGAACTGTTCTACTCTTAAAGAGACTACAAATACTTTACCAGATGTACTAATGAACTCAGATTGCATTTGGGCTACAAAAAGCTATAAAATAAATTCTTGGCACAACTGGAAAAATCTGATTATGGACTAGATGCTTAATGATTTTGTGGATTACCATTTGTTTTCTAAGGTGTAATAATGATATTACATATAAATAGAAGTTTTTCGTTTTTCTTAAGAGATATGGGCTGAAGTCTTTAGTGGTAAACTGTCATGATATTATTACTTAATATCAAATAGTACAGCAAAAAAGTATGTGCACATATATGTATAAGGCATGTGGGGGTTTGTTGCATTGTTCTTTCAAATTTTCAGCATGCTTGACAATCTTCACAATAAAAAGCTGGGACAAAGAAAACTGGTAAAGGGTATCGGATATGAAGGGAAGAGGGCAGGAAAAAAAAATCAATCCAAATGTATTCTAAAAGATGAAACACTGAATTTAAAAGGCAGGAATATGGTGTAGAGGAAAAAACAATTATCATGAGAAACAGCAGAATGACAGGATATGAATTTCTGGAGAAAACGGTTCTCTCTCAGAGATAAAACAGTCATGAGGACTCTAGGGAAACAAGTATAATTCCAAGAAAGAATGCTGTGACTGGATTCAAGTGCTTTAATCTGCTATCAGAGTCACAGCTAAAACAACTCCATGGCAACAGAACAGATCACACTCTGACAAGCCAGCAGCCTGGTTCACTGGTCTGGCCCTCCCCACTAAATGATGTGATCACTTGGTCTGGCTATGCCAAAAGAATCAATTTGAATACTAATGGTTTGGCTGTCAAGTGACTTTACTTTCTTGGGTAAAGATCAAGAATATACTTTTGTAGCCCAAAGAAGTCTGCCCACAAATCCAATAATTTTTTTTTCATTTAGAAGAAAAGTTCTCAATAGGATGAACTTGTTATTAAGGTGATTTATGTTACTAAAACAATGGGCATTTCCCTCATAAGGACACTGATATTATAACTTGACTAGGGGCAAGAACTATCCTCCTTTCTTATTCTTGAGTCACATTAAGTATCAAACCTCAATGGGATGATGATAAAATACATAATTCGAGGCCCCACAACCTGAAATTCTGATTCTGCTGCCAGAAGTGAGCAGTGGGAGGAACTTCTATTATAATAAGAACTGCCAGGGATTCTGATGCAGGTTTTCCAAGGTTCTACTATAGGCTTCTATTAGCAGTGAAGTTTTACTGTGATTGAAAATAATGTAGAATAGGGAAGAATACTGGAGCAGGAGTGAGAAAAACCCAGGTGAAAAATTTGTCACTAACTTATCTGACTTTGGGCAAGTTGATGTCTGTGCCTCAGTTTTCTCATATGCTTCATAAGGACAATAACCACTTGCTTCACTTATTATGCCTCGCATACATGCCGACTGAGACAAAAGTGACTTGAGCACATGAAAACCTTAACAAATATGCATTGTATCTTTGAAAAGGGAGCCTTTAATTTTATTTGGTGAGCTTAATATTATCTATTATATTCCCATTAAGAGCTAACTAAAGATTAAGTCTCTCCTTTCTTAGGCTTAAGAAGTGCTAAAGTGACACTCTTCTGTAGCACTTGACAGTCCCCTGACTAAAAACAAAAAGCACAGAGATAAGGACATCACTTAAGTATCACGAAGAGTGTATGTACAGAAGGCTTGTCTTTGGGTGTTTCTTACCAAGTCTATGAGTTTGGTAACTGGAACTTCTCGGATTGGTCTTTTCATTCGGCACAAAGCTTCTAAGGATGTACCAAAACAACTTGGGAGGTAATTTCCACTGATGGTCAAAAAGTAATCTTTGCCTCGATCCAGATGAAGGACAAGAATATCTTCAATCTTATCTTCCCCTGAGTTCAGGATGGTCACAGAGTCTTTGCTGACATACACATCAAGAGAAATGTCCACTGTCTCATCTGAAATATAACAGATGATACATGATAACATAGAAACTTCAAAAGGAAAAGTAAAAGGGTATGACGCCAACAGAATAAATGTCCTCTAAAAAAAATCACCAAGCAACAAAAACGAAGAAATTGGACGCACAAAGGAGGCATAACCAATATAATGACAGGGACGGTAAGAGACATGTGGTTAGAAAACAAGAAGTTAAACCAAGGGTATTGAAGCATTGAGGAGACTGTTCATGACAAGCAGAGACAATGGTAAAGGGAACACTCACTTGGCTCCAAGTAGCCCTCAAAAGGTTCAGCCCGAAGCCATGGCTTGCAGTACTGGCTGTCATTAAGTTTAGGGATGAAAGAAAAATGGCAGGGAACCTGTCCATTGTTGCTGATCTGGAACTTCTCCTTTTGTAGCTGCCGAAACTTCACATTCTCAAACACAAACTGGGGAATAACAGACAGACACAAACATGCATCACTAGTAGGGGAAGTAAGTCAGTTGGATTATTCCATAGAGAATATGAATAAAGAATAAGGCAATTATTAACCAGGTAATTTCCATATGCATTCACCAACTGAGCCGACTTCACATCATACACTATCATACATTATTAAACTCACAACAGCAGGGAAGGAGTTAAGTGGCTTTTACTGCTTCTCTAGGCTACTCTGATTGGTTCTGGGATCCTAAGAGGGTAACCCATCTTGGTCCAGTGCATTTATTCTATGACCAAAGCTTAGTTTCTAAGATATGAACCATAAACTGAAATATTAAATAAGAGTGGCTAATATAAAGCCTTATTAGGTGCCAGGTGCTATTCCATGTATTAAAAACTCATCTTACAATTAACCCTTAATCTAGTGAAGGAAACTGAGTGAAAGACACTTGCTTGTAATCATACACCTAATAAACAGCAGTACTGGGACTTGAATGGAAGCACTCTAACTCCAGCACACATGCTCTTAACCACTTTGCCTTGTTGCCTTTTCTTTTCCCTTCTTTTCTTTTCTTTTAGTATGGGGATGGAACTCAGGTATTCCTGCATGCTAGGCAAGCACTCAATCACTGAACTCTAGCCTCAGTCCTTTCTGTTTTATTTTGAGACAGGGTCTTGCTAAATTTCCCAGGCTGGCTTTGAACTTCCTTTTTAAAAAAATTTTTTTGGTAGTTGTAGATGGATAGAATGCCTTTATTTTATTTATTTGTTTTTATGTGGTGCTGAGGATTGAACCCAGTGCCTCACACATGCTAGGCAAGTGCTCTGCCACTGAGCTACAGCCCCAGCCCTGGCTTTGAACTTTCAACCTTCGTGCCTCAGCCTCTGGAATAGCTGGGACTATAGGCCTTTACCTTTGCCTGGCTCCTTGATGCCTTTTCTAAGTATTATAGTCTCCTTTGTGCTAATCACAATGGGCAGTAGACAGGGAGTCTGTGTATTTTGCTCACCTCCCTCCTGCTGAGTTCTAAGGAAGGAAGGAAGTCATTTTCCATTCTGTCCATGATGCGTACAATATCTTCAAAGACTTTCCGATACCTCCGTTCATCCACTACCTTCACCTAAAAGAAAACAAACCCTCTTTTCAGTCTTACATGCTCCCAGTTCATCTTCCTTTGAGATTATTTAACAATTCAATCGGTTATTAAAGCGATCATTTAAAATAAACTGTGATATGAATAACATCCTAAAAATTTGACATCTTGCTTCATCCACGACTTTCCTCTGAAAGAAAACAGATCTTTATTTTAGTCTTATGTATTCTCAACTTCTGTATCTCCAAAGGTTCTCTAAAATAAATAAATAAATAAATAATATAAAGGTATTGTCTCTATCTACAGCTAAAAAAAGTTAAAAAATGTTACTAAAGTAAACATAAATTAATCTAGTAAGTATTACAGAAGCATACACTTTAAAGTAAAGGTAAGGTTAATTGTCTAACTTTCTAGAAAAGTTAAATTTCTAAGTTAAAAAGCTTGGTAATAATAAATATTTGGGAAGAAAATTTTCTTGCTCCATTGTTAATTTATTTTGTACTTGAGAAAATGTGATGATTGTGGTAAAAAACGATTTTCTACATTGTACATAATGACAGTGCCAAAATATACCCATTACTGTTTTTCACAATCATCATAAAGTAGTGAAACAGCAGAAAACATGATTAAAGCATTTAACTCCATTAGCTGTTTATGCACAATGCCAAGAATCATAATAACACTGCTCAGATTATATAATAGCAAAGGTATGTTAGTAAATGGAAACTGTGGCCATTTTAGAAAATGGCCAACACATAATGTCCTGGAGTAAAACCATGGCAACAAACAAACCATCTGGACTAATCAAAATATTTCCCACCTGATACAGCACTTTAACTTCCTGATGTAGCCGTATTTCTTTTTTTAAAAAATGTTACAACTTCATACAAACCAATGGTAAAAGTTAATATAAATAACAGCATTTTAACTTACTGAGACATCAGATTCTTTCTTAGAAGAAAAAATTGCACAATATTCCATGTTTTTAAAAAAGATTCATGTATACAGAAAAAGTTCTAAAACAGATGTGGAAAACTGAACATCAAAGCTGAGCCAAAGATCTCAGACTGGAGAAGTTTTTTTTACATATTTGAACCAGAACTCTTAGGGAACTGAGGATCAATCACTTTAATGTCACCAGGTTCCATATTATACACAGTGTTAAGATGAATTTTATACTTTCATGAAATTTTGTGAACTTTTTATTTCAAGAAAGTATTTTACATGTCTTTTTATGACAATAACCTGCAAGGTTTTCAAAGCAAGGAATATTCTGATAGTTAAGAACATCAAGATACAAAACTTGCTCACTGCCAGAGTATACCAGAGGTGATGGCTGGACTTCTAGCTGGACTCTTTCTAAATTACTAAATATTGGAAAGAATTAACTCGGTTAAGTCTTAAATATCACAGGTGCCTGGGCCTACCAATCACAATCTCCAGGGGTACCCATGCATCCATACATTTTAAAGCTCTCTATAGACAATTCTGTCCCTGGAAGTCTGAGAATCAATCAACAGATCACAGTACCAAGCCCAGGGGTGGAACCCTATCTCACCTTAATCTCAGTCAGCCCACAGCAAGTGTTTTGAAATTAAATGGCCAAAGAGCATTTGGCTTCTTTGCTAACAAGTCATTGGTGCCAATGGTGGTGAAAATATAATGTGGTTTTTAAAGCCTCTAATCATAGCATGCCCAAGAGTCCAAAATATGGAGTGGTTACTCAATAAAAGAAAACCCTTCCTCAGTGGGTTAACATGAATTAATGGCACATTAAGGATAATGAGGTTGGGAAAACCAAAGAATTCACCATCTGATATATTCATTTCAGAAAAACAAATTACCAACAAAATTAGGAATTAGAAAAAAGTACAATGAGCTAGATCTTTATGTAATATATTATAGAGAGCTTTTGAAGACATGCTATTAAATGTAAAAAAAAAAAAAAAACAAGTCACAGACCATCACATATGGCATGAGACTACTTACAATATACGCAAAGTTATACACAAAACAGTATTTTGTCTATGGGTAAACAAAAAAGCACATGCAAAGGTCTAGAATTGCACTGTCCAATAAATAGCCACTAGACATGTGGGGGACATATAAATTTAAATTGCTACAAATTGAGCCCAGTTAAAAATTCAGTTCTCAGTCACAATGGCCACACTTCAAGTACTCAATAGTCACCTATGCCTAGAAGCAACTGGACTGGACAGCACAGACATAGGATATTTCCATCATCACAGAAAGCTCTAGTGGACAATTCTGGCCTAGGAAGATATAAACTTATAAGGGGTATTGGACTGGCTGGAAAGGGGGTTTATGTAAAGTTGGGAGTAGGAGATGAGGACAGGGATTGAAGAACTTCAGCCATATTTGTAAGTTCTGCTTAGATTATTATTTTAAAGGAAAAGCACTTTTATTTTTTTTAAAGTCATTCTTTTTTATTTTTTTAAATTTATTTTAAAATGGTATATAATTTTTAAAATCATTACCAAGTATAAAGGTAGTCTTTTGTTAAAGACACACAAAAATACTCAAAAAGCCTGTAAATTTAAAAAAATATCCTACTGAAAGCTCTGGATTAATGTGTAATAAAGCATTAAAAATATTTCAAGGTTCTGCTGGACATGGTGGTGCACACCTGTAATCCCAGTGACTTGGGAGGCTGAGACAGGAGGATTGCAAATTTGAGGCCACTCTTGGCAGCTTAGTAAGATCCTGTCACAAAAAGGAAAGAAAAGAGCGAGCTAGGGATGGAATTCAGTATTAGAGCATCCTGGGTTCAATTCCCAACAACTGGAAAACAATATTTCAAGGTTCTGAAAGTGAACACCCACAAAAAGCCAAGCATAACTGATTAAACCAAGGAGGTTAGTGTTTGAGGAACAATATCTTCATAAAATGGATTAAGAGAATTCAAACGAAGAAAAGAGGTATGCCTCCAATTACAATATGGAATTTGATGGGCTAAAAGTAAGATCTGAAGGCAGATTTAGTTAAAAAGTACTTCAGAATATGGGAATTGTGGGGTAGTGGAAAGACCATAGGTTAGGGAGTTAAACAGACTTAAGATTTGAATCTCAGTTCTCCTTCTAGCTGAATACTCTCAAAGAATTTATCTTAATTTGCAAGTTTTCCATTTGCTCATCTGCTAAGTGGAAAATATTTAATTCAAAGCATTGTTGTGGGAAGTAAGTGAGATATGTAAAAATTGCCTAGCACAGTTCCTGGCACATAGCTACTAACTTACTATTATTGATCATTATTTTTTTAATGATTTCCAAATGGGGATTGGGAGTATAACTCAGTTGTATAGTATGTGCTTAGCATGCACAAAGCCCAGCACCACACACATACACACACACACACACACACACACACACACACACACACACAGACACCCCTAGCAACCAGGGAAACACAAATTAAAACTACACTAAGATTTCACCCAATCCAGTCAAAATGACAGTTATCAAAGAAACAAATAATAATAAATGCTGGTGAGGACGTTGGAGGGAAAGAACACTTATACATTGTTGGTGGGACTGCAAATTAGCACAACCACTCTGAAAAGTATATGGATATCCCACAAAAAAACCCCTAGGAATTGAACCATGCATGTAACCCAACCATTCCACTCCTTGGTATTTATCCCAAAGGAAAAAAAAAATCAGCATACCATAGTGATACAGTCATAGGTGTTTACAGCAGCACAATTCACAATAGCCAAATTATAGAACCAGCAGAACTTCCCATCAATAGATCAATGGTTTAAGAAAATGTGGTATATACACATAATAGAGTTTTACTCAGCCATAAAGAACAAAATATAGACAGGTGGTGCATGCCTGTAATCCCAGCAGCTTGGGAGACAGAGGTAGGAAGATAACAAGTTTGAGGCCAGCCTCAGCAATTTAGCAAGGCTCTAAGCAATTAGTGAGACTTTGTCTCAAAATAAAAATTAAAAAGGGCTGAGGATGTGGCTCAGTATTAAAGAGACTCTGGAGTCATTCCCTGGTACCAATAAATAAATAAATAAAAAAGAATGAAATTATGGCATTTATGGCAAATAGATGGAAGTAAAACAAGCCAAACTCAGAAAATCAAGTGTCCAGTGTTTTATCTCATATGCGGAAGCTAGAGCAAAAGGAGTGGGGGATCAGGTATAATAAAGATACAAAGAAGATCACTGTAGTAGAAGAAGATGATTGGGAGGAACAGGAATGGGGAGGAAATACAGAATGAATTTGACAAAAATCAGGCTATATGCACGTACAAATATTCCACAGTGAATTCCACCTTTATGTATATCTATAAAGTGCCAATTAAAAATAGACAAATAGGGGCTGGAGTTGTAGCTCAGTGGTAGAGCGCTTGCCTTGTACATGTGAGGCACTGCATTCGATTCCCAACACCGCATATAAATAAGCAAATAAAATAAAGGGCCATCAACAACTAAAAAAATATTTAAAAAAATTAGACAAATAAATAAGTGAAAGGAAGACCAGTAGAGTAGAGAAAGGGGAAGGAAAGCAAGGAGGCACCAGGGACTGACATGGAGTAAATTAAATTCCACATATGTATGAGTTTGTCAAAATGAACCCAACTACCAAAACTCATTAAAAATCAAGGAAAAGCTATTGGGAGAAACATACTACTAATAAATTAGTATAGAGGTGAAAAAAATCATGTGAAATAGTTGCTTCTGCTGCAAAGAAATGCTATAACTTTCCTTTTTATTTGTGTGATGTCTGGACCGACTGCTACTTAAAGTAATAAAATATCAAAAACTTAAAAAAAATGAACCCACTATTCTATATAACTATAGAATAGTGGGTTCATTTTTTTAATATAACTAACAAAAACAAAACAAACAAAAACAATCCCACAATACAATTTTCTAATAGACAAAAACCAAAACGATAACTGTCCTGATAAAATTTAAAATATATTCAAGGAACAAGAATTGGGCTGGGCATGAAAGACAGTGAACAAGATGGACATTATTACCCTAGGTACATGTATGACTGCACCTATGGTGTGACACTACATTGTGTTAGACCAGAGAAATGAAAAGTTGTGCTACAATTGTGTAAAATTAATCAAAATGCATTCTGCTGACATATATACCTAATTAAAATAAATAAATAAATTTTGTATAAAAAGGAACTGGGCTGTGGTTGTAACTCAGTGGTAGAGTGCTTGCCTTGCACATATGAAACAGTGGGTTCGATCCTCAGCACCACATAAAAATAAACAAATAAAAATAAAAATAAAGATATTGTGTCCATCTACAGCTAAACAAACATTTTATTAAAAATTAATTAATTTTGTTCCTCCAGGGAAAGTCCTAAGGTCATTCTTTTAAAAAAAGGAGTGGGATAAGCAATGCTAGTGATAGCTATCTCAGAAGCAAAAAAAAAAAAAAATTGATATAAACATAGAGGAATGAAATCTACCCTATTATACTCTTTACAAGTTTGAATTAATTAACCTGCATAAGTAGGTACCATTGTTATCCACATTTTATAGAGGAGGAGACTGAGACACTGGGACATTACATTCTATGACCACACAATTAGAAAATGGCTGAGCTGAAATGCAAATTCAAGTAGGCTACTATAAAGTTCATCCTACCGAGTCCTGTACTAAATAAATCAACAGATTACATGTCCACAAGTGTGGAAAATCCACAAGAAATACTGTAAACATACTGGCTATAATAAATTAAATCAGCAAGATTACAAGACGTAATCTGTATATTAATAACATACAGCTAAAACATACAATGGGAAAAGAAAACTTTACTCACAAAAAGATTCTAAAAAAATTAAACAAATGGCCATTAACTCAGCCCAAGATGCAACAACATTAAAGAATAACTTAAAACCTATGCTCCTAGACAGGAAGACTTTACTGTAGCAGGGATGGCACCACATATACCTCTTAAGGTAATATGCAGATTTGGTCACATTCTGATCATCTCTGCCTTTTCTCCTGCTGTCAACCCCCACCACCCCAAATCTCTCTCCTGGTACTTCCCTTCCTTACTATCTGATGAAAAGCCAGTCATACTTTAATACGTAGCTTCCAACTTTTCTTTATGGTACTGACTTTAGGAGGTTCAGGTCACCACCCAATCATTAGGTACCATGAGAAAATTCTGTGTCACACAAAGGTCTGGCACATGAAGACTATAAGGACAGCAATTGGGAGGACTGAGGGTATTAACTTTTCAACACCTGCAAATTATTATTTGGTTATGGAACATTAATGCTCACTAAAATACTAATCTGTTCTGAGTCTAAATAATGCTCTAGAAATACTTAACACAGAAATGAATGAACAAACAAGTGTTCACCCCAATATGGAAGAGGGCGCTAACAGGCTTGTGGTCACTGGTTTTCAGTTCCATGTGACTCCGGTAATTAAGCTGATTAACATTTGTTCCTCTCCAAAGAATTCTGTCACACCAAGCTGGAACCCGACATTTTCCACTGTAAATAAAAAAAAAAAAAAATGAGATAGAGTGAGAACATATCACAGAAGAACATACTACCTACCACACTGGTTTAAGACCTGCATTAGGCCCTTTTGTTATATGTTCCCAAATAGCCATGTATTCCTTTCCAAAGGACCCCTATCATCTACCTGACTACATTGCAAGCTCTGTTAAGAGACTGTGTCTGCTTGTCTGCCATGGAACTCCTGGCATGTAAGCATAGTATCTGGTGTAAAAGTGGCTGCTCAATGAATAGTTATCTAATGAATGAATAAATGGTTCTTCTAAGATTAGGATTACATCTTCAACAATTTTCTTAAAATAGCCTCAAATGGTCAGGATTCTATTCTGAACACTTCCTCTTTCTTTGCTCTATGTTGCAACATACAGATAGCTAATAAAGTTTAAAAATCCAAGCCTCTATTCCTAAACTAGGTTTAATCTCTAGAGAGGATTAATAAGAGATTTCTCCTTAAACCTGAACTTTTATGGACAAATGTAGCTTCTTCTGAAAGAGATGAACTAACTTCAAAGCATTTAAGACTGAGCATGTAACAATCCATAGACAACTAAGAGTAGTAAGAAACCTATTCATCATTCTAGTAAAATAAGCAACACCTTGTACACCTGATCTAGAAGATGACATGAATATTTCTTATCAGTAGCTCTACAGCTAGATCTCAAGTGAGGTGAGTGGAAGAAACAAGGTAAAATATACATCATCCATTAGTGTCACTTTTCTTTTGGTGACCAGCTCCATTGGAACATAGGAATACAGACTCCTCCCACCCCATGCTGCCCCAGAGTTCTCAGAGAAGGAAACAGCTGAGTATGCCCAGGGATGCTTTCTCTTTCAAACTTCTGTGTTCAACCAGCTAGTAAACTATAAGAAACAAAGATTGTAGGGAGAAGAAAAATAATTACCAAGAACTTACTGACAGGAGCACTTCACTGGGGTGATTAGGCAATCAAAGGGTCTCCTAGATCATTCTTAATTTTCTCCAATAGTGGCAGATATGGAGTCCAGGCATCAGTATTTTAAACAGCTCTCTAAGAGATTCTAACATGTTCTCAGGGTTAAGAACTACTGTGCTAGAACAACCTTTCATGGCTCTATGTTTTTACCTTTTGGTATCTTGCATTAAACAGCTGAGAAGCACTTTGGGAACAAAGGGCCAGAAGAGGGCAAAAGGCGAGAAACAGGGGCAAGATCAGAAGTCAGAAATCTAAGCAAGGGCCGGTGTTGGGGTTCAGTGGTAGAGTACTTTGCCTAACATGTGTGAAGCAGTGGGTTTGATCCCAGCACCACATAAAAAAAATACACAAATAAAATAAAGGTACTGTGTCCATCTACAGCTAAAAAATATTTTAAAAATCTAAGTAAGTATGTTGAGGTGATAAAAATACATACTACAGGCAACCCATAAAACTTCAGCCCTGACATAAAGTAATACTTTCCTAAGATAAGATCACTTTTGAGTACACAGAAATTAAAAACACCCTGGTAACAGCACTGAGCCATTAGGTTTTTATCTCTTCTCACGGTATGGACTAAAAAAATCCCTAGTCTCTTACTTACATAGGAGAGACAAATATAAGATTAAGACTTAATTTATTCGGTGAGGAGGTTCTCATTACTTTACCTGGAATCCCATCGGTCTGTTTTCGAGTCATACTTGTAAGTGGGGATAAATTTGATTTCCCCTTCATTGAAGTCGACAAAAGCTTTTTTCTGTGTGCGCTGGATATTTAGCTAAAGATAGGAATAATTTCACATAAGCATAATACTCTCTTAATGTAAGTGATAATCAGGTTGATTAGTCACTACTCCCATTTCTTTTTTCTTTTTTATTCTTGGAAGTAGGGATTGAACCCAGGGTGGTTCTACCACTCAGCTATATCCCCAATATTTTCCACCCCTTTTATTAGTGTATTAAAGATGTACATAATAATTGTGTTAATTTTTACATAATCATACATGCATGGAATTTAATTTATTCCATTACAGTCTGCCTGGGTTCCCCAACTTTTCCCCTCCTCCTATCTCCTATTCCCTCTTTCTCTACTGTCTACCTTCCATTTATTTATTTGTTTTTAATGGGCGCTTTATAGATTTGTCAAATTCATTCTGTATTTCCTCTCCTTTCCCATCCCTCCTCTCTCCTAATTTGAGACAGGGTCTTGCTAAGCTGCTGAGGCTGGCCTCAAAGATCTTCCTGCCTCAGACTCACTCCCCAGCAGCTGGGATTACAGGCATATATCACCATGCCTGGCTACTGCTTCCCTTCCTAAGTATCCAATTCCACAGCTTTTACAACTGTGGGGGACTACATAAATAAAATTTCTGTATCTTATGATTTAAATATTGGCATTCCCACAGCATCTAAATTCACCCTCATATAGGATACACATTATTTGCACATCACTAATTTTTTTATTACTAATAGTGGCTAGAGGTAAAATGGAAACACGAAATTTGAATAATCATAAGTTCCTTGGAGCTGGGCAAGAACAATCCAGCAAAATTATAATTAAATATAAACAAACAATTGTTAAATGGATAATTCAAAAAATTGAATTCAGGAATAGTTACAAATTGTTTTGAAAGTTATCCTCACTCAATTATTTTACCAGAGTTACATAAGATTCAGAATTTACTCCAACTGTACTCCTTTTGGAGGCAGGAAAGAGGAAGAAATGCAAAGAAATTAGCCAAACTCAATACAAAGGTAAACAGTCAAGAAAGGTTCCCTACAAAAACCATACTACAGTAAAACATCTGAACTTTGACCATGTCTAAAGGCCAAAATGGTTCTCCATAAAGATTTAAAGACATGTGAATTAAGTGAAAACATTTTCTTTCCTCAATAAGAAGCATTCATTCTTATGCTAGTATCGTGATATTCTGTGTATTTATTCAAGGGAAATAAAATCAATATATCAAAGTGATACTTGCATACCCATGTTTATTGCAGCTCTGTTCTCAATACCAGATACAAAATCAATCTAGGTGTCCAACATGGATGAATGAATAAAGACAATGTGATATATATGCACAATGGAGTATTATTTAGCCATAACGAAGAATGAAATAAATCATGTCATTTGCAACAAACTGGATGGAACTAGAGGTCGTTATGTGGTTAAGGGAAGTAAGCCAGACACAGACAATACTAAATGTTGTCTCTCATATGTGGAAGTTAAAAAAAAGGCAACCTCAATATAAAATATGATACTAAAGGCTGGGGAGGGTGGAGGGGAGGGTAGATTTGATTAGTACATGCTGCATGTATGTGTTGATATATCACATTGAACATTATTAATATATATAATAAATGCATATTAATCAAAAAATTAAAAAGCTTCATCAAATTGTGTTTTTATGTATGTGCAAATATCCCACAATGAAACCCACCATTCTGTATAATTCATTTGGATAAACCAATAAAAACAATCTTGGAAAGGATTTCATTCTTCAATGATGTTTAGGTAACCAATCATCCTTTCCTTGGGTGAATTAGATTTTTCAAAAAGGAAAATTTCAAGACAAAGGAAAATGTGTTCATTCTTTCTACTTGACACTGACTCTAACTAGAATTATTTTACCAGAATCTAAATGTGTTTTATGGAATAAACTGGACTCCACCATAAAAAAATCACTAACTTGTAATAGCCAGTATCTATATACTGAAGTTAAAATTTAAGTCACATGCTGGGTCTAGCAGAAAATATACTTACTGTCTCACATATATGGGAACAGGATTCCTGAATATCAGGTTTTACCTGAATGTTACAGAATTGGTGCCTTTTCCACAGGTTTTAACACAAACAGCTATATACCAGCTAAGGCCCAACTTGTCAATCAGTTCAAATTAGATTATAGCTTATGCTATTCTTCCCAAAGAAATCTTTCTTTTTAAAACATTTTTTAGTTGTCAATGGACCTTTACTTTTTGTATTTACATGAGTTGCTGAGAATCAAACCCAGGGCCTCACAAACATTAGGCAAGCACTCTACCTCTGAGCCACAACCCCAGCCCCAGCAAACAAATCTCTTTTTGGTGCTTCCCAATCTCCCTCATGGGACATCCTATTTTTTTTTTAAAACAACCTCCAAGCTGTTGCTCAGTCTGCGAAGTAATCATAGAACAGTTTTCCCTGTTCCATCTGCCAAACCACAGCAACAGAACTGAAGGCCCACTTCCTCCAGGAAGTGTTCTCCAATTAACCCCACCCATTCTCCAACTCATTTATACAAATCTCTGCTTGCTAATGTTATATTTACTTTTTATCACCAATGTTATTTCCCCTCTTCCCATCCAAACACTTAATCAAAGCACTATAAATACAGTATGTACTCAATTCATCACTAGTCACACTTTTTGCAAGACAGTATGACTTTTCCATCTCTTCTTAGAGTAACACAAGCCTGTCATGTGTTTATTTCATACTCCTAGTAATCTCTACCATTGAAACTTTACTTACCTGATCGAATTTTAAGAGTCTCTGAAGATCATTCTTACTAATAAGACTTTTCACTTCACTGGCATCAGGCATGCAAAGTCTGTAGTTCAAATCTCCCAACCAAATTACAACACTGAGGACCAAGAAATATTTGAACAGAAGTAGAATCAGCATAAAAATCAGAGTAGAATGAAGAAAAGAAAATGAGTAGATTATTTACAAGGATTCATTCATCATTATAAAGGTTTAAAACTATCATTAACCCTTTGGGGGTAAGTACTATCAACACCTGAGAGAGAAAGGATTATAAAATAGGGGGTGGGAAAACAGATACTCCGTAAATGAAGAACAAAACTGGGAAATATAGTATACATACAGGATTCAGCAGCCAAGGAGTTAATGGACTGAGAAGAATACGGTTTATTTGCTGGACTAGCTTCAAAGTTTTGCCTGGTTGCTTGCCAGGTATTTAGGGGAAGAGAACTGAACTTTTTTTTTTTTTTTGACTCTCAGAGCTCTGAGATTCTTCAGACTCTGCTAAGGTCTGCATGATCAGGACAGCTCTCTGAGATGACCCAGTAGGAAAATTAGGTCCAGGGCTCTCCAGTATAGCCAACCTATCTACACCTGCCCAAGATTTGAGGGCCAAATTGCAGTTAAGAAGGAGACTGGAATCTCATGGGATACTTAGCTCCCAATCACAGTGTTAAGCCTTTGAGATGTGCTGAAAGGGAGACCCTAAAATTATCAAATCAAAACGGATTCTCTTGTGAGCTATCAAGTTCCCAATGAGTAATGCTACCAATTCCAAATTCAATGTGAAAATTTTGAGATAATGAGGAAATAAATTTATGTAATTGTGGGGCAACTTCATGAGCATAAATTTCAAGGCCTTGACTTTACCACTTTGAAACAGAATTACATATGATCCTAACAGTTGAAACAATATGGAAATATTCCAATACCACTACCCTTCCCTAATCTTTCCTCAATTATTCTACTCTCTACTGATTCTAATACCCGTAAATCATCCTTTGTTTTCCTAATTTCCATCTCAAACTTATCCCAAATCACACTCTCAGAAATTTAATGACCAGTATTAACTAATCATTTTCCACTATCACCCCATAAATTCCTCAAAGAATTTATGCTTCTATCCCTATTAAGTCCCATTCTTCACTAACCTCTTTCTGCCATCCCTATTAATAATCACAGCCACTAAAAATAGTAATGTGGATTTGTATGCACTGACTTGGAGAGAAAGCCATAATAAACAGGATGATATGGTCACATACAATAAGCATGTGTGTGTTTGTATATGTACAAAGTCTAGGATAGCACTGTTGAATGGAATTAATTATAATGCATGTCACAATAAAATTTTAAATTTTCTAGTAGCTGCATTTAAAAAGTAAAATAAACAAATGAAAAAAAAATTCCCTTAACCCAACATATCCAATTTTTTATTTTGACATGTGATTAATATTTAAATTGTTGAGATGGGATACATTTTTCCCTACTAAGTTTTCAAAATCCAGTGTACAGTTCATGCTTCCAGCATATCTCAAACTCGGAGAGCCATTTTCAAGTGTGCAACAGCCACATATGGCTATTGGCTATCATATTGGACAATGTAGATGTACATGGATATACACCCAACGGTTAAGAATGTTTCCTTTGGAGATTGGGATTGCTGGGGAGAGTAAAGGATGAGAAATGAGGGGTTGTTACTGTTAAACTTTTATTACATTCACAATGAACACTTCTATTTTATAACAAAAACAAAAATTGACTGAATCAACAGATCCCTTCAGCATTATTCTAGATGCTCCACTAATTCCCCTACCCTTTCTTTTGATGGCAATTCTAATTTCTCTACCTCAATGAGTCTGCTATTCCTAAAAAAGATCCTCTATTCTTTGTGACCCCAATTCCTAAATGGAAATTCCTCATTCTTCATAGCTCTATAATTTCTCCCCACATTTAATCTCTTCTTATGCCTATATTCAAAGGCCATGGGAGATTTGCCACTCACTCATGTTTCATAATGTTCAGTTGTGGAAGGGTCTGATTGGGGACCACAAAACTCATTCTTGCACAGATGTCCTTATAATCTTGATTCCTTCTCTCAAAGTCTTCCACATGGGCAGCCAGGTGGGAATTAACAATGCAGAAAGTAGTGTTGTGAAACACAAATCTCACAGCTACCCCACCTTTGTTTCCCTGTTAGCAAAAGTAATTATTCAGTTAGCACAACAACTAGAAATTGAATTTATTGTGGACATAAACAATAGTCAATTTCATTTCCAAAGTTACTCACCATTTTCCCCATGATTCCAGTTCCAACTGTTTCTGTAGCAACATCACGGATGTACCGATATTGATCCTTTCTGGCAAATATAAGGAGCATCATCCCAACAAGGCGAACTAATTGAACCTATGAATGCCCGGAAGTTAAAAGGGTTTGTAATACCACTTTTTACTGCATATTTAACTTTCCAAAATAAATATTTTCACCAAAATGATATACTAATCCCTAAATCTGAATCCAAGTCCTCTAATTTCTCACCAGATCCCATAAATTAGAAAACAAAATTCTCTGGGGAAGCTCTAATATGGCTGGCTAATAAGAGTTAAAAGCCTTAACAGGTGTAGTGGTGTACACCTGTGATCCCAGAGACTTGGTGGCAGAAGCAAGAAGATGGCAAGTTCAAAGTCCACCTTGACAACTAAGCAAGACCGGCTCAAAATAATAAAATAAAAAGGGATGGGGATATAGCTCAGTGGTAGAGTTCAATCCCCAGTATCTCCTCCCCACACACACCCAAAACCTTGAGTGACAACAAGTACATTCAACTCTAGATCTATTAATCACTGTTTAGCCTACCAAGAGTCCATTAAAAATTGAAATAACAGGGACTGGGGTTGTGGCTCAGTGGTGAAGTGCTTGACTAACATGCATGAGGCACTGGGTTCGATTGTCAGCACCACATAAAAATAAAATAAAGGTATTGTGTCCACCAACAACTCAAAATATATATATTAAAAAAATGAAATAACAAAGACAAGGCTGCTATCCCAGTTTCTTCCTTTCACTTTTCCTTCTTTGTTTCTGATTTCTAATTTTCTATTAAATTTAAATCTATAAACAATAATTCTTTTTCCTTTGATTTTTTAAAAAAAATTTAGTTGTTGATGGACATTTATTTTATTTATTTATATGTGGTGCTGAGAATAGAACCCAGTGCCTCACACATGCTCAGCAAGTGCTCTACCACTGAGCTATAACCCCAGCCCTCCTTTGATTATTTTTAACCTGTGAACAAGAGTTGGAAATATGTGTAAGATGTTTATTTGTTAGTTTTTGGTGGTGCTGGGGATGGAATACAGGGCCTTGCACATGCTAGACAAATGCTCTACCACTAAGTCACATTCCTAGCCCTTGAGATGTACTAATCAAAAACCTATATGAGAATAATATCTTTAGGAGTTATGTTTCCTATATAAACTGTTAAAAGATAGAGAGGTAATTACTCAGATTACTCCTTTTAAAGAGCTCAGGAATGACAACACTGTGTTAATGTGTATTTGTTTTTAATTATCAATATGAGAAAAATAAAACTGTTTTCTCCTTAAGCCTATCTAAGCAATGAAAATATTGGGTCAGAAAACTAAATCTTTTTTCTTAGGAAATAAGTGTGAATAATTAGTCTGCCCTATCTTAGTATCACACAGGAAAGAATTCAATTAAACCATTCTTTAGAAGAAGTTACAGATAATGGAATAACTCTCAGTGAGTTCTATTTAGTCATATACTAAAAAAGATTATTAAATGCAGCTTACTTTCTTATACTTGGCTTTGGAATGCAAACCCCTTTCCACAGCCATGGACCACTCTTGTTCCTTCACAGATTCAAAGTAGAAAAAGGCCTCTGTGCTCAAATCCAGCTCCTGGAATCTGAGAGAAAGAAGAAATGAGATCTATACCTTTTCCGAATTATCTCTGGCTACCTGTTCTGTTTCTTTGCTGAGAGACACTGTACCAATAAAGAATGAGGAAGAGAAATTTTATAGAACTGCTCTGTTGACCTAGATTATCAGTAATTTAAACAAGTAAGATTATCAGTAAGTAAGTAAGTTGCTTTTTTCCCTAAAGAATGAATCTCCACTATTGTTATTTATAGGGTATACAGAAAACAAATCAAACCTCCCTCAAGGGATAATGGCAGAGCTTTGCTCTTATAACAAAGGAAAAGTCATTATTAGAATTGACTTCAAGTTTTGTTTTCTATCTAGAATATAGTTTTCTATGGATTTCAAGAGAACCAGGTTCTTCTTTACACCATGTTAGGTATCTGTTTCATTCTGATTTCACAAATATCCACAGTAACTCTCATCTATATGGTCACAGTAGGTTTTTACAAAATATGTTTTAAAAGAAGGTAAACATTATGTAAACTAACATCAAACATAGCCAAAAGGGAGTTCTAGAAGTGTTCTTTACCCAATGCAGTAGATATCAGGAGGATTCGGATCACAGTTCAGCCAGGGTTCTAACGCGCTATCTGGAGACTGGCCATTCACATTCCAAGTTCCAACAAAAAATCTAATACATAATACCAAAAATAATTTGAAAACAAGGGTCAAGTATGAACAAACAGATATCTTCTCTTGGCATTTCTACACAAGGGTATATTCACAATAAGCCAACATAATTCCTCAAAGTGTTTTGCCACACACACACGAGAAAAAGCTCTTGCATGTAGAGTACAAAGGCAGTAGGTTTATTTTCCCTAAATTTTACATTGAAAGAATCTACAACAGGAGCCAAGTCTCTAATTTAAAAACACAAAGTTAATTGCTCTACCACATTTTCTTTCAGTTAAACCCATCCAAAGTCTTACTTGAATGGAGGGCTTATGGATGGCAAAGGGATATCTTCATGTTGCAAGCTATTCTAATATGGATAACTGTTCTGTAAGGAGCTGTAGTTGCATCCAAAAACTCACTTCCCAAAGGATTACAAGGACATCTGCGTAGGAAATTCTGATGAGGCAGATATAGTATTAAGGGAGGAAAGCAGAAGGGCTGTCTTAAGTGTTTACATACAAACATAAAGCACCGTGTGGAATATGAGGAACTGAAAGTTTTCATAGGGATATAGTTATGATTGAATTAGAATAAATAAGGCATAATAGGACAGCAGATGGAACTGGAGTCTTTGACTACATGGACATTCTCTTCATGAATAACAAAGAGAGGTGTTGTTGCTTCACATACTAGGGATAGATGCCATACACCACCTATATCAGGTCCAGAGAAGAGGATATTAACAAGTAAAGGTGAAATGAAAAATAATACAGAGGAAAGAATCCAATTGACAGACCTTTTAACCAAGAAGACTGGGAGTAACTTTCTTTAATTTAACAAAGTAAGTTAAGAAGTAATGGTGAACTTTAATTTTCCAATATTGACTGGAAAAAAATTCAGCAAGCCAGATAAATATACATACTTGCTTATGAAATGTTCTAGGGAACAATTCACTAGTATATGAGAGCTTGATTTTGTTCCCTAAGAGTGGATAGAAACATTAGTAGATGTGACATTATTAACAGGTAGAAAAACCAAGGGAAACTGTAGCCTCTACATTATTTTGGATATCATGCTATTGACCAGCATCGAGGCAGGGGCTTGAATTAAATGACCATGTTATACCTAACATTTTAGACTCAATAAGTAGAAAAGAGACTAACTTGAAAGTATGAATGTTGACATATTCTTTTTCTCGTTTTGCCAGGATATGTTTGATGAGACCCTCCCGCTGGCCAGACTGGGTATTTGGTACAAAGAGCTTCCGCATGGTGTTGGTCACTTTGGGCTGCTCTTTGTTAGAAGCTTCTTTTTCACGTGGAAGCCTAGAAAATAAATGAGGAATTCAAAGTAAAATTTCCTAAAATATAAGTCTCCTACTGGGGAAATGCTTCAATGTAAAACTTACATTCTATTCAATGAAGGAGGTGGAGGTGGGGGTTCCCGATGAATCCCCATAGGCTGATTTTGTGAATTTATTTTCTTGTCCAAGTTCATAGATGAAAAATTATCCTCAAATCCAAGAAGCCCTGAGGACACAGAACCCAAAGTCAAATGGGGAAAAAAAGCTAACATATAGCCAGGGTAGACACAGCTTTTTTTTTTTTTTTTTTTTTTTAAAG